TTATTTTTTTTTTTAATTTATTTACCAAAAATAATATAAAAACAATGTATAATGTATATCAAGTTCGTTCGAGATAAATAAACAGAAACACCCACAAAAAGAATCCTTGAGCATGGGTTATTATTGGTTATTTAGGACGAGCAGTCTTAATAAAACACAATATTACAATATTATAAAAAAATGAAAAATTATACAAAAATAATATTTGGAATAATATGAAAAACAGTTACGTAATACTAAGTTTAATTTAATATTAATATTTATATTTTATCAACTATTTTTTTTTTTTTTTCTAGACAAATTATTAAATTGAACTAGTAAACCAGACTATAACATTCGTTATTTGTTGAAATAAAACGTTGCAGATTCGCAGTAGGGATAGAATATATCCATTTTTTTATTTTTACTTTGAATAGATTTAGGGAATAAATGCTCTTTAATTCTAACGGTATTTCATTATATAATTTGGGACCCAGGTAAGCATAACTTTTTTGCCCTATAGTTTTTTTGGCTTTAGGTATTACAACATTATTTAATTTATATCGAGTTGCGTGGTCATGACTTATTGATAGTAAAGTGTGTTTGTCTTTACGTTGTTTTGTAATAATAATTTTTGCAAATAACTGATAAATATCTAATACTCCAGCTTCTTGATAAAGATCTATTGTTGGGTGAGTTCTAGGTCGGTGAAATATTGTTTTTAATATACTTTTTTGTATTTTCTGCAAGTTATTAAAGTGGCACCTGCTACACCCCATGCTATTATACCGTATGAGAAATGACTTTCAACTAATGCATAGTAAAGGATTTTTAAATATCTCACATGGAGGAAAGTGGAAAGGTTTCTAAATTTATATAAGACGAATCTTAGCTTTCTTATAATATAGTTAATCTGTTCTTCCCATCGCAGATGTAAGTCGATATATATTCCCAAATACTTTATTTTATTTGTAGATTTTATAATAATAGTTTCATTTTCGATTTTTATATTAATTTCTTTAAAAGGCGGTAAGTAATTGCTATATGATGTAAAAGGGACAAGGAAAGTTTTTTTAAAATTAATTGTTAGTAATCTGCTCTCAAAAAAATTAGCGATAGTAGTAAAATCATTCTGAACTGTATAATAACTAATATATAGGTATATACATGCATATATAGCCAAATTAAGAGTATAACCCTTTTTCTGCCTACATTACTGGATGGTTAATGATACAGAGTAAAAGGAGATAACAGTATGCAAAGCGTTAGTGGTACTTAGTTCGCAATAGAGAAAAGTCAAAGCCCAACTGTTTAGTCAAGCGAAGTAACCGAAGAGTGAAGAACGAAGAGAGTATAAGCAGCAATTCATTGCTTAAGCCTACTTTGGATAGTGGCCCACTTGGGAAATTGACACATATTTTACGAGAAGTGCTCTATATCACACTCGTGTGGAAAATAATCTACTTTTCGCCCGTGTGTGAATATGACTTTACTTTCCACATTGGCTGTGAAAACTGTTTAACGCACATTTTTTTTATTCTGATCTATACAATGTTCATACTGATTTTCATACCCAGATCCCAGATAATTATTTTTATCAATAATTAAAATAATTTAAAAATAACTACATTATTTTTCTGTTTTTTTTGTTACTGTTTAATACACATATTTTATTAGATAATTTATTAGATACAAAACTTTATGGACCATAGCGTAAAATGTTTTACTTTATCAACTTTGAATTTTGCGACTCGGGTTCAATCCCCGATAAAAGCAATCGCATTATTTTTAATTTTATAAAATATGAAAATTACAAATATGACTATTGTTGTTTGTTTATTTTTCTATGATCACTATGCAAAGTAGGCTTTTGCGCTTTAAAATTGAACCGCAAAGTTAACGTTAACTTAACTGATATTAAGTGACAGCTATTTCGATCGCTGAGCGAAAAACTTGACGGCTTTGTTGCTCGACTAATATAAAATAAGATATAATAATATTTTTTATAATAAATGATTTTTAAGTCATTTGTACGTAGTTTGATGTTTTATTGTTTTATTATCCAAGTTAACATTGACTTTGAATATCAACTCCGATTTTCAAGATTATTAGATATAGGCAACACATTATACACTAAATACGACCAATTGTCAGTTTTTATATCTATTTCTTAAAGTAATGTGATCGTAGAAAAAATCTTGTGTACATTTTAAGCAAAAAGTTCGTTGCCGCTTTCGACAAATTAGCGCGCTCCGCTACACTTCGCGCCCCCAACTTTGTGTCTCAAGCAGCAAAGTATTACTTTTCGCTCTTAATACATACCCAAATATTAAACTAATTTTATCTATCATAATATCACCCCAAAAGTTAGGCAATTCGTTAAACATTCCGATATTTATTTTGTGCTATTTTACATTTTCCAAAAAATTTGTAATATTTTTTGTAACTATTGTACCTTTACCATCCTTTGAAATCCAATGTTTTTAATTTCAGTTTACAAAACAGCATCCGTAAAACACCTTAAAAATTATTCAGTAAGGCATATAAAAACAAATCTTGGAACAGCCACATCTTGATTGAACCTTCATAGCCAGATTTTCTTGTTTTACATTTTTTTCTGTGTTCGTATGAAAAATATTGTGTAAAAGTGATTTTTCACACTTGTGCGATTTTCGAACTTGAACACGCGTGAGAAAAATGTCACTTTCTTCACTCGTAATGTAATATACTATTTTCTGTATAAACATGGTCCTAGATAAATACTTTTATTGATTTTTTTTTAAATTTAAATTCTTTAACGGTTTAAAAAAATTTGATTTTCAGTTAACTTTCGACTGGGTACTGAACTACCGTCCTAAAAAGTAATCGATGATTTTCATCGATTACAGCAGAGACTACAGAGAGCTGTAGAATCAATATGCAAAGTGCACTTCAATTACGAGTCAAATGTTACACAAAGATCGACAAAGGTGGCAGGCCTTTTCAAAGTGATGTTGTTGTTCTGTCTTAACGAATGTGCACATAAATTTTCTACCGTGAGCATATATCAATTTTCGGAATACCGGCGTATAACTTAGCGAATAATCGCAAGGCAATTTTGAACGAGTTGAACGTATTCACCGAAGTTCTTAGCAAATGAATGGCGAACGATTAAACTAAACATGTTTTATGTGCCCTGTCTACTTCCGCCAACTTCCGAAATAAAATATACACCCAAGCCGTAATCAACTTCCGAGTGTGTTTTGTTTTATTTCTTAATTAAGAATACTAATGAATATACCGGAAATCCCAATGAACATTTTTTGTTACCGAAAAGGAAAGCTAGCGTTTTTTAAACGGGATAAAATGGATCAGTGGCTTTGGAAGTAGAAAATGCTTATTAATTGTTAGAAGCAGATCAAAAAGCTGCTGGCTTAAACCAACTGGTTTGTAATTATACAGATAGATGGAAACAACAACTAGAACGAATGTTTTACAAAATAGAAATGTAAAACTAACAATTAGTTTTAGGTTGAAAGGCAGAAATAAGTAGGTACCACTCTTAAAAGACCTATGAACGATTAATTCTAAAAGTAATAAGAATAATCAGACTTTTGCAATAAAAAAACATAATTTTATAAATTATTATTAACCGACATTACGTATTGCAGCGTTTATTTATGTAAATAGTTTATTTACAGACGCTAATTAATTTTATAACCTAATTTATTTCCACTACACTAATTAATATATTAACACTAATAATCTGCTCACAGTGATATTTCAACATGAACTCCTTATGACAACAAACAAGGTCTATTTATATACACTTGTAGATTTTTTAAATTGTTCGCGCATTAACAAGAACTTGCTACGACAGCGATGTCTTCACTATTTATTAAATTGATGCGTCGTCTCTGGATGCTTCGTCATCATTCCAGTATATTTTAGATCCGTTTATCCACAAAATTTAACAAGTCAATGGTTCTTAACGTATGATGGTTTACTTAATTTATCAAGAAAAAGAGGCCGTAAAAGGCCCAAATAAGATAAAGAGGAACTTAAGGGATTAGAGCATGAAAGAACTGGTCAAAAATGGCTTGCACGACTGTATCTATTTTTGATATCTTACTATAAAATATTTTATTAAAGTTTTTTGAAAGGACTTTCTTTTATTTTCTGTGGATGAAATAGCCACAAAATGTAAGATATATATTGGAGTATCTAAGCGAACAGTGTATGACAATATTGAAGAAGTCTCACATCCAAAAAAGCTCCCAGGAAGAAACAAGACTTTTATTAAAACTTGGGTAAAGAATGCAAAAAATTACACTCATAAATATAATATATAGCGAAGGCTCGTAGTTACCCCCCATCCCCCCTGTGGGAATTTGTGAGCCACACATTTTTAGGTTGGTATTGCCATGTAGTTTAAGGTTTTAGTTGTTTGCCCCATGCCAATTACAGTATAGCCCGGAAAAACATGGAAAACCGCGGAAAACTGAAAAAAAGTACTTATATTTTTATTAACCTTTTCCAGATAAATAATTTTTGTTTCAGGTGAACTGTAATCATGTGTGATGAAAAGCCTTTAAGTATAAAGCGGCGACATGGAGCATTAACAAAATCATAGGAGAAGAGATGCGTAATTTATTTTAATGAAAACAAATTAGACAATATTCATCGATCATTTTCCGCTCAATAATTTCAAAAAGTTCGTGAGTGCGTTGAAGTGCGACTAAAAGAATCCAATGAAGGTAATAGATTGGAAACTGTGTGTAGACAAGTGCCAGTGGATTTTGATGAAGACCATGATTTTTACCATCGCTGGTATTACCAAAAATTTACGAACACATCAAAAATTAAAAAAACGTGTATTGCTATCAGGCAATGAATGTGAACCATCAACATCCAAGCGAAGCCGCAGATCTACGGCTCCTACAAGAAATCTATTTCCGAGTGATAGCCAGAAACCTTTGGTGAGCTAGCCAAGGTAATACCAAGTCGCTTTCCAAAATGCATAAGGATAGATTTCGTGACAGATGTATCTATTAAAAACATTGAAAGACTAAGAAGGGGTTGTGGAGATACATTCCTAATAAAAGGGCCGAAGACCAAGATTCCCCGCGATTGGAAGAAATTCCTCGGTAATGGCAAAAACAAGGAACAACTTGTTAACCTTCTACACAATGAATGGAAACAAGACAAATATGCCCATCATTTTCATGGTAAAAAACTTTACTTATCACATAATGATCAGTGCACGTTGTTTACTAGCGAAGACGGTTCAACTGTATATTATACTGTACAAGAGGAAGCGGATACTAACATTATTTTACATTGCTTCCATGCTTCTCAATTTTGTCAAGATAAATTGCCCATCAGAATTAGGTCATCAAATACAGATGTTTTTATGTTGCTGTTAAGGTACGTCAACGAAATTGAAAATGTGTTACTATTTGATACAGGAGTTGGAAACAAACGAAGGGTCAGTAATGTCACCAACATTTCTGATAATTTAGGTGTAGCAAAGTGGCATGCTATGTTGAACATGCATGCACTATCCGGATCTGACACTACCAGTTCTTTTGTTCGTCGTGGAAAGTTGTCAGTAAAATCTAAATTAGAAAAATGTTCTAAATTCGTGCCTATCCTTAGGTCATTAGGATCATCATTTACAGTTACATATAAGTTAGTGACATACTTAGAGGAATTCGTCTGTTACTTGTACAGTAATAAAGGATACATAGATATAAATAAGCTACGGTATGAATTATTCACACACAAATACTCTCCTACAGTGACCTCAACGTTGCCAAATACGCAAGGTGTCTATTACCTCCTGCTACATATGGAATAATGTCCACGTCGCTAAATCTATGGCACCAAGTCCAGTGGGGCATGGCTGGAAATTGGAAAATGGACAACTAAAGATTGATTGGATTAAAGGGGATCCGTTGCCGTCCGAACTAACCGATGTTATGGAAAGCTATCATCCAGATGAGTTTGAAGATGAAAATGAGTCAGACCTAGTTAACTTCACATGCCGTTGTTTGGAAATTTTTGCTTTCATTTATGCTTGCATAATTAAGATTTTGTGTTAAGTTCAACATTTACAAATAAAAAAATATAATATGCAACTAATATTTCATTTTCCAGCTATTTTCCCGATAAACAAACCATGAAAACTAAGAAAAGAATTCATCACAATATATTGTTTATAAAAACCCCTTCTCCACAGAAAAGTTTCATTGAAATTTTAAAAAATTTAAAAAAGTAATCTTTTCCGTAATTCAGCGGTTTTCCATGTTTTTTCCGGGCTATGCTATAATTGTCAAAAGGCAAACGACCTAAACCTTAAACTACATGGCAATACCAACAAAAAAATATGTGACTCACAAATTCCCACAGGGAGGGGAGGAGGGTTTCGTCCTTGTGGCTCATGGTCCAACAGTGCTACTCTTCCAAATATATCATATTTTCATCTACAAAAACTATTACATGAATTAAATTTTTGTTACAAAAAAACCTGACAGAAACAGCTTTTTTAACAGAGAAAGACAACAACAGTGGGTGAAGAAATAATTATTCAAGGAAAATAGCGGACGCAAGGACTCAGCATAAACAGGTATTTTATTTAGATGAAACATAGGTTAATACTGGACATACAGTAACAAAACTTTGGCAAGATAAGAACTAAAAGATAAAAACTAAAAAAGTCTTTATGGATGGGGTAACTTGTGGATTAAAAAATCCAACAGGTGAAGGAAATCGTTTAACAATAACCCATGGATTTTTGCCAGATGGTTTATTAATGTTCGAGTAATGTAGAAATGGATGGCCCTATTTTTGAAAATTGGTTTCGGAACATTATAAAAAAAAACCAGCCAACTCCATTATTATTTTGGATAATCCATCCTATCACAGTCGAATAAAGGAGTCACTACCCACAACAGTGGCGTGCGGTGACATTTTTGGAAGGGGAAGCAATTGTATAAAAATACAGCAGGCCAGTAAGCACAGCGCCGCAGACGAACATTTTTCGCGGCGCATTCACCATTTTGTCAAAAATCTTGCATTTTTCCTCAGTACTAAGGATATTTGAGATTGAGATTTTTGAAGTGTCACTATTACTTTATTATCTAGTTTAGTACTAGAAGCTATAAAAAAACTTACCATTGAAAAGCTTCCTTGGTTTATTTAAACGTAAAAGAAAACATTTAACTGAAGTTTTTTTTATTTTCTCCAGCATTTTTCGCACAGTTGACACATCAGTTGACATTTATTTATACTTAAGATCTATTCGCCTATCCTCAATGGCTGCAAATTTGTCTATAACATCGTCGTAAAATTTTGGATTTTCTGATAACTGTTTAACAAGCTGTTTTTCAATGGATATTAGAGCTAAATTAGAGAGTCTGTCTTTACTTGTTGAATTTCGTATAAAACTTTTAATGCGCTTTAAAGCTGAAAAACTTCGCTCAACTGACGCACTTGTGGCTGGGATGGTTAGTACTACTTCACACAACTTGATGACTTCACAAAGGGACTTATTTAAACCAGTTGTTATAAAAAAATTTAACACATTGATGGGCGTCTTTTTAACACTAATTTCAGTTGTTTCATAAACAACACTTAACTGGAACTTTAAAGCTGGAATATCGAAAAAATTTCCATAATTTAATTTTAGTGAATTAAAAGCTTCCGATGAAAATTTTGATAAATCGTAGTTACTAATATTAAAATTGCACAATTCAACAAATTTTAATTCGTTAAAGTTTTGAAATCGAGAGTTCATTTGTTGTAGAATATTATCAAAAATTTCGGCGTATAATCGACGATGGGAGGTTTCTCTGTCGCCGACATTATCAATTCTTATTCTCTTTCTTTCAGGTTCTAAGCCAATATTTTGAGTCTTATTCCAAAAGTGTTCAAACTGATCTCGTTTTTTATTAATTTTATTTTTAAAATCATCAATTTGTTTAATGCAAAAGCCAATGTCATTTGACTTTGTCTGTAAAATGTCGAATAAAATGTCAGTAAAAGGAAAAATCCCTGCAAAAATGTTAAGCAAAAAGTTTTGTTTGAGCCAATGCAAATACCCAGCAGTAGTAACAATTTCAGCATCTCATGTTTCTTTATTATCCCAAACGTCTTGAAAAAAGTTTATCAAAGAATCACGGTATTGAAACACTGTTTGCACTAAACGTCCATTGTAGTTCCATCGCGTCGGAGCAACTTTTGGAAACCTTCTTTGAACGTGAACGTCCAAAGCGCGAGTTCTTTTCGATGACTTTGAAAAGAAGGAAGCTAAACCACCAAGCGTCGAAAAGGAAACTTTCCAATCTTTAATATTATCCATGCTTCGCGATAAAACCAAATTATGTCTATGTTTAAATTGCATGTTTAAACTTTTCTTTCGCTTTAGCTTAAAGACGTCCTAAATGGCCAGCCATTATGGCAGCACCATCGTAGCTCTGGGCAACAAGGTTAGAACTACATTCTAAACTTTAAATAATGTCACAAACAATTTTAAACAATGCATCTGCAGTTCGTTCGCTAGTGACGTCCGAAATTCCTAAGAATCGCTCTTGAGGAATGCCATCCAATACATATCGCACAACAATGGATAATTGACTTATGTTTGCTACATTTGTGGTTTCATCAAGCGCAATTGATACGAAAGGTGCTTTTTTAATTTCACTTTTAATGTGATCCATTACAACGTTGGCAGTACATTTAATTAAATCATTTTGGAATCTGTTTGAGGTACCTCGGAAAGTCATCGAATCAATAAAATGATTTTTTAGGATATTATCGTATTTTGCTAAAAAACTTATAAGGTCCATGTAATTTTCTCGATTGGCGGATCCACTTGCTTCATTGTGACCCCTAAAACTTAGTTCATGCTGTCCCAGGAAACAAGTTACATCTATTAATCGTTGTAAGATGTCCCTATTTTTTTTTACCTTTTCATTGTGAATTTTGTTGCTTATTTTTAAATGATTGTCCAAATTATGTTCAATGTAATACCGACTGAGTTCCAATGTGTTTTTTCGATCATATTAAAAAGTAGGCAAGGCCAGCAAAACAATTTCTTCAAAGTTTTGCAGCCGGTTAACCATTCATACTTTTCATAGAACCCTACGTGAGAATGCCTGGTAAATTTCTTTGCTGATTTTTCTACTTTCGTCTCTAAATTGATAGGATCCTTTAGTCTATTAGAATTAATAATGTCCGTTTTCTCTTCAAAATTTCTACTTGAAAATCCTTTTTTTTAATAAAGAGCACACAATACAGACACAATTTACCACATTATTATTGTTCACAGGCACAGTGCATAGTTCCTTCATTTTACAAAAATCTAAGATTTTCCTCACACGTCGATTCGCGGTGCGAATTGCAATAAGCGTAAGGCGACGTAATAATCGCTGCCTCTTGACCGTATTTCACGTGTGCAAACAGACTGAAACTGTCGCTGCAAACCAGGGTCAATAACATTAAGCGAAATCATATGCAAGATGAACAGGTTATTTCAAGAGGCGCTTCCGCTGACAGACCGTTTGTATGTTTACACAATTAATTTTCTCATGGGTGGTGCGTGCGTTTACACACCAATGAATTGTTAGTATATTTACGAAGTTTACGTAATGTTTCAGAGAAAATATAGTACCTAATTTAATATTAATTTTTATGCATTGTAAACTTAAAAATATATATTTTTAAATTTCAAAGTGTAGGGAAGCGGTGCTTCCCCCGCTTCCATGGACCGCACGCCCCTGACCCACAACAAGATCGAAAAAATAATATTTTTCAAAATGACTTTATTTTAAAAATATTATCAGTCCTCGTAAAGCATTGAAGGCAGAATTACTCGTATTAGCAAGTCAGCATAAAAACAAATTCAAAAAATATATTATAGACGAGATCACAAAGCACGTATCCCTCCCCACGCCAATATTAAACTTTTAAACCAAATTAGCGCCACCTTGTGATTGGAGCAGGAATTAAAATAACAACTGACAGATGGCGGTAAATTTAAATTGTAATTTTTAGTAGTAGGTAGTAGTTCTAAATTAAATTTTAAATGATTTCTACAAATATTATTTTATAAAATAAAGTATGGAACTAGTAAGTTCGAAACTTTTATTTTACAAAATAATTTAGGTAGATTATGCAAAATTTATGGAGTTAATTTGTTATAACGGGTTTAATGTGGAGAGTTGATAATATATTATTTATTATTAAATTAAATCTTGTGTGCATTTTAAACGAATTGTCCGTTGCCACTTTCGACAGATATTTTGTCTCAGAGAATATTATTTCAATGATGATTTTTTGTTTATATTTCTTTTGAAAATTATGAAAACTTACTTTTTTGCCTAAAATTGTAACAGCATAAACATAACAATACAATAGACATAACGATTTACTAATTCACAAATTCCAATCTAAATATAATACTCTTTTCGTCACAATGAAACTAATCACTGATAAAAACAACCAAACACGCTAGTGTTTCGAACAAATTTTAATTGTTAAAAATGATCAAATAAATATTTCCTACCGCTACGCCACTACAAGAGCTAAATATCTGTTACCCTAGCGAATTTCCGCTAACATCTTTTCAAAATGTCCTCCAACGAGAAAATAAAAATTTTACCAGACTATTACAAATTAATTTACATGTTTATCAACAAAGTGTTCATTATCTAAATGAGACAATTGTAAAGTTAGTAACCGATAAATTAGTGCATGTATACACTTATTGGAAATTATACAACTGACAAACTATGATTTTGATTAGCTTTGAAGTAATAATTTCTCATCGATTTAATGGTAGCTAGTGAATTAAATCAAATATTCGCTATTTAATCGTGAACGTTTATTGCGTAATGTGTTGCTTATTACCTTTGATTTATTCATAAAATTTAAATAATGAATTCAAGACTTACAGAAGCCTGGTTTTAATTACCTACATTAATAACAGTTTCGTTGTTGTAGCTACCAAATAATTATTTTCAACCCACAAAATGTGGAAAGTAAACCTCGAATAAAATAAAGGGTTAATCTGAAAGTAGTTCAGAAGCCATATTTGAGTCTT